GGACTCCTCCTTGCCTTCCAGCCTTCTTGAGTAAGCCTGTGGATAGCTGGGACTACAGACACCCACCACCATGCCTGGCTAATTTTTGTATTTTTAGTAGAGATGGGGTTTCACCATGTTGATCAGGCTGGTCTTGAACTCCTGACCTCAGGCGATCTGCTCGCCTTGGCCTCCCAAAGTTCTGGGATTACAGATGTGAGCCACCGCGCCTGACCAGGGATTGTTTTCTTATTCGCACTTCTTTCAGTTTGTATTATAAAAAATTATGCTCACATCCGTTGTGTGGCTTATAACTATCAGCCCCGCTGCTGCTGCCTCACACGGAGTGCCATGTGTATGATGTGATCTCAGTTCTCACAGGTCACCTCATCAAGTCCTCAGCACAGCCCTTCTTTGGTAAGTGTTCATTTATCTCCATTTTACCAATGAGGAGTCTGGCTTCCAGGGAGGTGACATGACCTACCCTAGGTCACACCCAGAAAATGTCTGTTTTTCTGTTTTATTTTATATTTTATTTTTATTTTTTGAGAAAGAGTCTTGCTCTATCAGCCAGGCTAAAGTGCAGTGGTGTAATCACAGCTCACTACAGCCTTGACTTCTCAGGCTCAAGTGATCCTCCCACCTCAACCTCCAGAGTAGCTGGGACTACAGGCATGCACCACCACACCTGGCTAATTTTTGAATTTTCTGTAGAGACAGGCTTTCACTCTGTTGCTCAGACTGGTCTCAAACCCCTGAACTCAAGTGATCCTCCCACCTTGGCCTCCCAAAGTACTGGGATTACAGGGGTGAGCCATGATGCCTGGCCTGTGTTTCTATTTTAAATATGAGAATACTGGGTTCACACAGAGGTAAGGAGGCAGGAAGAAGGGCTGAGACTTCCCAGACTGTGTGTATCCACTCGAGGTGTCTTTGGCTCAAGGCTTTTAATTTTGTGGTTCTCAAACCACAGTGTGTATTGGAATCATCTGAAGGATGCTTTAAAATGTAAAACAGAGATAGCTGGGCCCCAGTCCCAAGGGTTTCTGGTTCCCAAGGCCAGGGTTGTGGCCCAAGAATTTCTGTTTCTAATGAGTTCCAGGTGATGCTGACATGGGTGGTCGGGACCCCACTTTGAGAATCACACACCCTGACCTCTCCTGGGTACCCCGGAGACAACCATTATCACACCCTGAGATGGGGAAGCTCCTCCAGTAGAGGAATGGCTTCATTGGGTTCAGTGGATAAAAATTTCATAGGCTGTAATTACAAGGGCACCCGGCAGATCCCAAGAAGAACAAGTCCAAGGTGTCAATGAGGTCTCTGGCCGCTAGCACGCAGCCCAGATGGGGTGGGAGGCCTGCCTGCCTCCTGGGGAATTGCCAGGAATGGGAAGGAGTTTTTCCTCCTTAAGAAGGGATTCATGTGCAGTGCTGGAATCTGGGCCCTGTCTAGAGATGATGCCCAGGCTCAGCTGAGGCTCTAGCAATGGGCAGGGTCACTCCCAGATACTTCTCAGGATACTCTTCAGAAGATGAGCTTACTTGAGGGTCAAGTGAAGGGTAGTGGGGGACATGGACTAGAGTCCAGCCTGAAAGATTCTGGTAATTTCCTCTGCCCATCCACACCCACAGATCCCCCCAGTCATGGGAGATGATTCAGAGCTAATTTTGAGGCTCGGCAGCGGTAAGCAAGTCTCCCAACGGGGTCTGGGATGAGTGATGCCTCTCATGGGGGTTCTTTCTGGAGGGGCCTGGAGAAGACCTTCCAACATCAGCACTGCCTGCCTGCAGCAGGACCCTCTCACCTGATTTCAGGATCCACCTTCCTTTCTCTTTTTCCTTCCTACAGATATTTATTTATTCCATAACTATTAGCTATTTATTGAACCATTTACTTTGGGCAGGCACTGACAAGACACTGAGGACACTGCCACCAACAAGACAGAGAAGATCCTTGCTTTGCATATGCCGTCAAGCATGGGGAAAAAGACAATCAATCTAGAAACAAACAACCTATTGACAGATTGACGAACATAAACCAGATGCTGTGGGAAGACAACATTTATGCTGAGAGCTAAAGGAAGGGACGAGCAAAGACCCTGGGGTTGGAAGAAACAGGAGTGTGTGAGGAGCTAAGCAGATGGCAAAGTGACCAGAGCATAATGAGCAAAGGGGTGAGGTCAGAGAGATGTCAACAGGGATCAGACCATGAAGTGTTTTGGAGGCCTCGGAAAGGAGCATGGATGGTATTTAAAATGCAATGAGGGTTGGGAGGCTGAGGCAGGTGGATCACCTGTGGTCAGGAGTTTGAGACTAGCCTGGCCAACGTGGTGAAACAGGATCTCTACTAAAATTACAAAATTAGCTGAGTGTGGTGTCGTGCACCTGTAATCCCAGCTACTCGGGAGGCTGAGGCAGGAGAATCACTTGAACCTGGGAGGCAGAGGTTGCAGTGAGCCAAGATCGAAGCCATTGCACTCCAGTCTGAGCAACAGAGCGAGACTCTGTCTCAAAAAAAAAAAAAAATTGCAGTGTGGAGTCTAGGCAATGATCCTTAGTGTCTGCTGAAAATATTATGTTAAAAGCTGATGGCACAGTGGCTCATGCCTGTAATCTCAGCACTTTGGGAGGCCAAGACAGGAGGACTGCTTGAGCTTAAGAGTTCAAGACCAGCCTGGGCAACATAGTGAGACCTCATCTCTACAAAATAACCTTAAATGAACCCAGCTTGGTGGTGCACGGCTGTCGTCCCAGCTACTCAGGAGGCTGAGGCAGGAGAATTGCTTGAGCCCAGGAGGCAGAGATATATCACCTGAGCCCCGATTGAGCCTAGCACCACAGAGAGAAAGGCCACTGGACATAATCTGATCAAGACTCTAGATCTGACTACCAAGTACAGGTAATACAGTGGACAGAGAGCAGAACATGTGAAATGACATCATGAGGAAGCAATCAGAAAAATCCAGCCTGCAGAAGCTCTACAGAACAACCACTCAGTCCATACGACAAATATACTGCAGAAGGGAAAAGAGACAGAGTGGGGACCTGTGAACTAAAAAAGACTTTGGAATCATGTCAACCAAATGTAGTATGGGGATAGTGGTAGATTTTATCATAATGGACCTTAATGAATCACACTTCCATGTCCACACCTCTTCTGCAATGCTATATTGCTTTTCTTCCTATCAAGAGGTGAAACTATCCACTGGCTTGAATCTGGGCATCCCTTGTGACTTGTTTTGGCCAGTAAAATGTGACAGATGTGATGTGAAAATTCCAGAGTCTCGGTTTTAAGAAGCTTGTAGCTTCTTTTCTTGCTTTCTTGGAACCCTGAGACCACTGTTCTCTGAAGAAGCCCACACTAGCTTCCTGGAGGATGAGAGGCTACGTGGAGAACTGAAAGACATCCCAGCCAATCGCCAGCACTAATCACCAGCCATGTGAGGGACACCTTGGACCTCCCAGCCCCAGCTTAGCCAGCAGATAACTACAGCAGCTGCATGAGAGTCCCAAGAGAGACCGGGAGAAGAACTACTCTGCAGCCCTGATGGTGCCAGCTCACTGGCCCTGCTCCCCTGAGGGTCTTTAGCCTTGAGGCCCCCAGCCTCCATTGAGCCTCCAGGCCAGTGGCTGAGTTCTGGGTGTGACAGAAAGATTCCGTAGGGACTCTTTATCCCCTGGAACAGGCCTCATTCAGTCCCAGAGGAAGGCAGGAGGAGAGTTTATGAGACAACATCATGAGTCACCCCAACTAATGACTTCCCAGAAGAGCTGTGGTTGGACACTGAGCCTTCCCTTCGAAGCAAGCCTGGGGAAACACACACCAAAGCCTGGTCCTAATTCACAGACACACAGAGCAGGGCCAGCTCTGCTGCAGCATCATCATGGGTCCTTGAGCAAGTCATGGAACCTCTCTGACCTCCAATTCAAACGAAACTAACACCTTAGGGTAATTCAATGAGGGTTTAAAAAAAATACAAAAGGAAACAAATGAGGCTAATACCTAGTGACTTACATCATGGGATGGCTCAGAGAGCTAAATAAAATAACAGATGTGGAAGTGCTTTGTTAAATGCTATGCAGGCAGAACAGCTGATCACGGGACAGGAGGCGGCAAAGGTCGAGCAGGAACCTCTGCTTTGGATGTTCTGCTGAATGTGATGTGCCTCTGCTCCTTAGCCCTTGTTCACAGTCCCCCTTCATTCTCCCTTTCTCTACGGCCTTCTTGCCTTTCTCAACTAAAGTTCCGTGGAGGAGATGAAGGGGAAAAACATCAAAGAGTTTAAGGGCATAATAATTGGGTTCCAGCGGAAAACAAATGGTGCACTCAGAAGGGGTTTAAGTGAATAGAGTTTAATGGAAGAGGGGAGCGGTAAGAGAACCAGCTAGAAACCGTGAAGCACCCAGGGATTCACAACCACAGGAAACTGTTACCATTTGCAGGCCTATGAGTGCAAGGAGAGGGAAGAGTGTTACTGTAGTCATGCGAGCGCTAGAGCCATGAAAGGGGACTCACCCAATAAGAGCAGGCTGTGGCCGTAGGAAAAAACAGCTGCTGGAAGAATTGGGCCAGGCAGGAAGGGAGTCAGAAGACAAATACCCTGACCTCTCTCTCTGCTCCTGCCCTCCCATCTCCTTTGTGCCTGGCATTGGCTGAACCCAGCTAGAAGTCAAAGACAAGGGAACCAGGGCAATGCAGAACTTAGAGGTTAGCCTCTGGGGCACACAGCAGGGCCAAGAAAGTTGGAACCTAAATAGGGTGGGGGGTGGTTAATAAAGAATAACCCACAGTGGAGAATGAGTTATGGGCAAGACAGGGCATGAAGTACAAGATCAGGGTTTGAGTGGTTTTAGGCTGGAAGTCTTGGATCAGTGCATCCAGTTGCAACTGGAGCTGGAGACATACTTGGGGGACCAGGGCATGGTTAAGATTGGGATACGGAGGGTCTCATTAGTGGTGAGAAATTGGTAATCTCTTCTTTGCCTAAGGTCCTGACCCACATATTCCTTTGGTCCTAGGGGAGCCCTCCCAGCCTCCCAACAGCAGTTGGCCCCTAAGTCAGAATGGGACTAACGCTGAGGCCACTCCAACTGCAAACCTCACCTTCTCCTCCTACTACCAGCACACCTCCCCTGTGGCGGCCATGTTCATTGTGGCCTATGCGCTCATCTTCCTGCTTTGCATGGTGGGCAACACCCTGGTCTGTTTCATCGTGCTCAAGAACCGGCACATGCGTACCGTCACCAACATGTTCATCCTCAACCTGGCCGTCAGTGACCTGCTGGTGGGCATCTTCTGCATGCCCACCACCCTTGTGGACAACCTCATCACTGGTGAGTGCAGGCAGTTGGCAGCAGGAGTGTCCCCCATCCCCACTTCAACTTCTCAGATAAGGCCAGAAATCGAAGCTTGAAAGACAGACATCATTGCTGGGCTGGCCTCTTGGCCATGCCATGGTCTCGAACTCTTAAGACAGTCTTGGAGCTGAAGAGTTAGACTAGAAATAAGAGATATAATGAATTCCCTGTTTTCTTTGTGCCTGGCATGATGTTACTTTTCATGCATTATCTTAATTCATCCTCACAACAATCCAATGAAGTAGAGTTTATGGTCCTCCCCATTTTATGGAAGAGGAAACATGCTCAGAGTGGTTTAGAAACTGGTCTGTAGTCACACAGCTAATAGGTGTCAAGGTCCACATTCTCACACCCATACTTCTAATTATTGTATTATACCATTCAGTCCCACTCTCTCATGGAGCTCCCATGGGCAGAATTAGAGCCAATGGGGAGAAGTGGAAGGGAGGCAGGTTTCCTCTGAGTCAGGAACTACAACTCCACTCATTTGAGCTGGAAATTGATCAGGGCACAGAAGAGAGTCCTGCCTGTAAGTAATGAGCTCTCCATCCCTTGGAGTGTCTAAGCAGGGACTGGCCGGCCACTCAGTGGACCACTTGACCTCTAAATTCCTGCCTGTGCATCCTGCAGATGTCAGAACAGCACCATCTACTCTCTACTCTCTCATGCGACTGGCCTTTCTTGTTTCAGAATCAAGTTTCCACCAACCTGAGACTCCAGGTGAGGGACTGCTTTTCAGAGATACAGGGACCCCTAGAGGTCCTAGCCTGCAGATTCTGAGCTCAGAGCTCCCAGCAGCTCACTGGTCCTCAGGATCCAGAGCCATTCGGAGTGAGTTCACTGACTGAGGGCAGAGGGAGCCACAGCCCAGGTTTCTGTAGGTTCTAGGACCCAGGAAGTGGAGACAGTGCAGAGTCAGCTCCCCTCCACAGTACTGGCTCTGTCTGGTGGAACCATTACCCACTGCTGAGTCCCAGCTTCGTTTGCCGATGCTGAACATAAACTGCATCCCTCTCCTTTCCAACATATAGACACACACACATGTGTACTCAGGCACATATGTGCAGAGATGCATATATGTGCAGAGATGCACACATGCATACACATAAATACATGCATACCAGTCAACAGTGATATAATGAGGTCACTACCTGGTTAAGGTGGTGTCTCTCAGTCTTTTTCACACACTCATATTCAAAATATTGTTTGAATACATAAAACATTCAGATGGTTCAATAGTCAAAAGCTACCAAAGTTCTCCAGTGAAAAATCTCCCTTCTGCCCCTGTCCTCTGGCGTCCCGGCTTCTATCCCTCCTGGGAGGCAACTAATGTTGCCAGTTTCTTGTGTCTCTTTCAAAAAATATTTTATGCGAGTGCAAGCAAATTAAGCACATGCTAAGGTTCCAAACAGTCCCGTACTTTTACTTCCCACCACACCCCACTTAAAAATATATCATGTATGCTGTAAAAAAGATTCATTAAAATCAACTTACATGTTGTTATCCCATATTAATAGATAAAAGAGTTTCTCATTCTTTTCACCAACTGCTTAGAATTCCATCGTATGAATGTACTACAATTGATGCTGATTTGTATTTATGTTGTTTCTAATAGAATCTTCTGCAATTAAATAAAACTTCACACAGCTTCCTTTTTTTCTCTTTCTTTCTCTGTTTCTCTCTCTCTCTTTCTTTCTTTCTTTTTTCTTTTTTTTTTGAGTCTCACTCTGTCACCCAGGCTGGAATGCAGTGGTGTGATCTCGGCTCACTGCAACCTCCGCCTCCCAGGTTCAAGCGATTCTCCTGCCTCAACCTCCTGAGTGGCTGGGATTACAGGCGCCTGCCACCACACCCAGCTAATTTTTGTATTTTTAGTAGAGACGGGGTTTCTCCATGTTGGCCAGGCTGGTCTTGAACTTCTGATCTGAAGTGACCTGCCTGCCTCGGCCTCCCAAAGTGCTGGGATTACAGGCATGAACCACTGCACCGGCCTCTTTTTTGGAGACAGTCTCACTCTGTCATTCAGGCTGGAGTGCAGTGGCACAATCATGGCTCACTATAGCCTCGACCTCCCTGGGCCCAGGTCCTGGGACTACAGGCATGTGCCACCACGACTGGCTAATTTTTCTATTTTTTGTAGAGATGGGGTTTTGTCATGTTGCCCAAGCTTGTCTCAAACTCCTGAGTTCAAGCCATCTGCCTGCCTCAGCCTCCCAAAGTGGTGGGATTACAGGAGTGAGGCACCATGCCCAGCTTTTTCTTGCTTTTGTTTTGTTTTGTTTTGTTTTTGAGACAGAGTCTCGCTCTGTCACCCAGGCTGGAGTGCAGTGGCCGGATCTCGGCTCACTGCAAGCTCCGCCTCCCGGGTTTACAGCATTCTCCTGCCTCAGCCTCCCGAGTAGCTGGGACTACAGGCACCCGCCACCACGCCCAGCTAATTTTTGTATTTTTAGTAGAGACGGGGTTTCTCCATGTTGGCCAGGCTGGTCTTGAACTTCTGATCTGAAGTGACCTGCCTGCCTCGGCCTCCCAAAGTGGTGGGATTACAGGAGTGAGGCACCATGCCCAGCTTTTTCTTCCTTTTTTTTTTTTTTTTTTTTTTTGTAACTCACATACAGAAGGTTGAGTCATTCATTCAGTCTACAGTTCATGGCACTATGTGATTTCCCACTCTGTTGCAAAGCTCTTCTTTTGTTTATTTGTTTCCTTCTGTATACCTATTCCACTCTCCATCTCTTCTCTGACCCAGAGGCAGCCATTCTGTTATATTTCTGTCTTTTGTATGCATTTGTAGAAAATGTGCTGTGAATGTATGCATGTTTTACATTTAAATATTTTTGTTAAGATATAATTTAACATACATTAAAATCTGCCTTTTTAGTATATAGTTCCACAAGGGTTTTGTTGTTGTTGCTGTTGTTGTTGCTTTTTAAAAAGACACGGTCTTGCTCTGTCACCACGCTGGAGTGCAGTGGTGAGATTATAGCTCACTGTGACCTCAAACTCCTGGCCTCAAGAGATCTTCCCACCTCAGCCTCCCCAGTAGCTGGGACTACAGAAATGTGCTACCATGTGTGGCTAATTTTATTTTTAATTTTTGTTTTCGTAGAGTTGGAGTCTCACTATATTATCCAGGCTGGTCTTGAATTCCTGGGCTCAAGTGATCCTCCTGCTTCTTCCTCCCAAAGTGCTGGGATTACTAAGCTGGCTGAGAATAGTATTTAGAAGCCAAGGTCTGGGTTCTAGGTGTGCTCATGGGTATTGGGGTGTCATTGCTTCTAGGTGCTCTCAAGGGACAGAGCTAGGAAATATATGTATACTAACAGAAATATTTCACACACATATCTTTATTTCTGTATCTGTCCACCTGTATGTGTATTAACATGAGTTCAGACTGATACCTTTGATTCCAACCCACTGTCACAGGATTCATTTTAACTTGACCCTCTTCCTTATTGGTAACTTCATTTTCAGACAGTGAGAAATCTAGCTGTATTTATCTACAACATATTTACTTATTGGTTCAATCTTAGTATACACATAAGGTAGCTTCATTATTGCTAACATACTTCTTTCTGTGATTGAGGTTTGCCTGATATTTTCCCATAATTAGATCCTGTTTATTCAGTTTTGTCAAGAGTACACACATTTATTAGTGACAGTACAGAATTTGTATACAGTACTTTTTGCTGTTATAGTATACAGTCAAAATGTTTTGCAAAGTTACTCCAGTTAGTGCGTTTCTTCTTCACCCCTTCAATGTAAATATTATTCAATTTAAATACAATATTATTCATTTGTAATACAATTAAGCTTATTTGTTAATGTTTGTATTTCACTTTGGGTCCCCCTCCCCAACCACATTGTGATAGATGATAATTATTTATTTTTTGAGTGAGTGAAACATTGCCATGATTCTAAAAAGTCAGAACCATAAAAAGATATACTCAGAGAGGCATCACTCTCATTATCTCACCTAGCCCATTCACCCACTATTTCTACCCAGTTCTTATCTTCTCTCTGTTTAGATAGCTAATCTCATTATTCTGATTTATCTTTTCTGTATTTCTTTGGTACAATGAGAAAATAAGCATATATTTTCTTAATCTCTTTTTTCTTACATGAAAGGTAATATACTACAGACAGTCTTTATACTTTGCTTTTTGCAAACCACATGCCTGTGGTTCCAGCTACTCAGGAGGCTGAGGCGGGAGAATCGCTTGAGCCAAGAAGTTGAGGCTGCAGGGAGCCATGATCACACCATTGTACTCCAGCCTGGATGACAGAGCAAGATCCTATCTCAAACAACACACCACAAAACAAAACAAAACAACTGATGTCTGGGTCCTATCACTGGAGATTCTGATTGTAACTGGCCTGGCATGGGTCTGAGCATTTGTTCTTTGCATAGCTCTCCAGGTGATTATCATGAGCAGCCAGTGTCAAGAACCACTGACCTAGAACCTGAGCCAGGGCTATGGGAGCAGAGAGCCAGGCAGGGCTGGATGCTCTAAAGCTCATGGAAAGAAATCATTGGTCAATATAAAGAAAATCTCACTAATACTGTTGACCCTTGAACAACATGGGTTTGAACTGCATGGGTCCATTTATATGAGGGTTTTTTTCAACTAAATGCAGATTAAAAATACAGCAAAACCCGTGTATATTAGGCCATTCTCATGCTGCTATAAGGACATACCTGAGACTGGGTAATTTATAGAGGAAGAGGTTTAATTGACTCACAGTTCTGCAGGGATGGGAAGGCCTCAGGAAACTTACAATCATGGTGGAAGGGGAACCATGTCCTTCTTCACAAGTCAGCAGGAGAGAGAAGAATGAGAACTGAGTGAAGGGAGAAGCCCCATTTAAAGCCATCAGATCTCGTGATGAGAACTTACTCACCATCACAAGAATAGCATGGGGGAACCCACCCCCATGATTCAGTTATCTCCCATGGGTCCTTCCCATGACTCGTGGGGATTATGGGAGCTACAATTCGAGATGAGGTTTGGGTGGGGATACAGTCAAACCATTATCACCGTGTATATACAGAGGGCTGCCTTTTTCTATACACAGGTTCTGCAAGGCTGACTGCAGGAATTGATTACGTGCAGATTTTGGAATTCTTGGGGGGTCCTACAACCAATGCACTGTATAAACGAGGGGATGACTGTAGTGAGAACTGTCCACGGTTTTATGGGCTGGTTGGTTCCTCATTTCTGGAAGTGTGCAAGCAGAGACCAGATAACCGCTTGCAGGACATGGAGGAAAGATCCAAGCTCAGAGGGGACTTGGCTTAGAGGGCTTGCGGTCTCTGGCTCTTGATGGGTGGCCATCTCTCACTCTGTGGGGGCCTCTGTCATTGCAGGGTGGCCCTTCGACAATGCCACATGCAAGATGAGCGGCTTGGTGCAGGGCATGTCTGTGTCAGCTTCCGTTTTCACGCTGGTGGCCATTGCTGTGGAAAGGTGAGAGGTTTCCTGGATGGATTATCCCTGGGCCAACTAGGGCCTGGCATTAAGAGGAGCCACTGCCTCTAATGCTGGATTGGCTGGAAGGCTGGGGCTGCACTGTGGTAAGTGGGGCTAAATCCTGACCTGCAAGAAGAAGGGTTGTGGACCCAGCTGCCCTCTCCCTAAACTTGGGGAACCTGATAAGGACACTACCACCCCCTTCTGGAAGGCCTGAAGGCAGCCTTAGTTGGCTTTCGTTGAGATTCCTGGGGTCTGTGAGGAGCTCAAGAGCAGTCCTCATTTCCTGAGCAGCAGGAATCTAAGCCAGGAGAGCCAGAGCTAAGGGGGACAGCTTAGGGGTGGGTCTCAGTATGGCTGGGGAGGAAGGCTTCCTCCCTGCTCCTCATTCTGTCCCCACTGGCTCCTGCTGGTTCCTGGCAGCCCAGGCCATACTCAATCCCCATGTTCACCCCTTCTGGTTTTTCAGCTTCACATTCCATCGGATTCCCTGGTAAGTATAAGTCTATCATGTGGCCAGAGGTATGGAGCAGAGCCAGGGACAAGGAGGCTTTGCAATCAATAAAGCACTGATTTATTGAGGAGGCCTCCATATTGCACTGCATGAGTGCTCCTCCCCCACAGCATTGTTAGTGGTAGAAGGGCATCCTCTGGTTGCTTCACCCCAGGGAAAGGTGGGCAGGCAGATCAGCTGGAGGTGTGCTCACTCCTATCTTGGTGTATCATGTTGGGTGGGTCACCTAACTACTCTGAGCCCCTGTAGTCTCACCTGTAAAATAGTAGCTACCCTACAGGATGGTTGGGAGGCTTCAGTGAGCTCCTGCTTGTAAAAGCTTATGCACAGTTCCTGGCACAGAGTCCAAATATCAGTTGCTAATAGTATTTTGTTTCTTCTGCACACCCATTCCCTCCTCCTTGTTCTCTCCCCAGCATGAGCATATCTTAGCCCTGCCCTTTATAGAATCTAGTGTTCACATCCTCTCTCCACCTCAAGCCCAGTTTTTTGTAACTCAGTGAAGTAGGCAGCTGGAGTAATGAAGTGGGTTCTACTCTCCACAAGGCCACTAACTAGCTGGGTGATCAGGAGAAGTCCCTTCCCTTCATCGACCTTTGTTTTGTCATCATTGTTGGATGAAATGAGAGTGTGGTGTTTGCAGTATTCTTCAAGTCTCACCTCATCCAGGAAGCCTGCCCAGATTACCCCAAGATTCTCCTCCACCCATTTACTGCTATTGCACTCATAGCCAGTACTGCAGGCTTTAAGAATTATTTATTCTCTGGAGATTTCTTTTCTTTTTTTTTTTTTTTTTTGAGTGGGGAGACAGCGTCTTGCTCTGTCACCCAGGCTGGAGGGCCATGGCGATCTTGACTCACTGCAACCTCTGCCTCCCAGGTTCAAGCCATTCTCCTGCCTCAGCCTCTGGAGTAGCTGGGATTACAGGTGCACACCACCATGCATGGCTAATTTTTGTATTTTTAGTGGAGCAGGGTTTCACCATGTTGGCCAGGCTGGTCTCAAACTCCTGGTCTCAAGTGATCCGCCCTCCTCAGCCTCCCAAAGTGCTAGCATAAGCCACTATTCTCTGGAGCTTTCTTGAGGGTGTGAAGTATGAAGCCAGTAGGTCAAAGTAGGTCAAAGACAACAAGGCTTGAGTCAGGCTGTGGGAGAGGTAAAAGGTCAGGCTATGAGGCCAAAAACTGGGTTGGCAGGAGGGCAGGATGCAGTGTAGTGAAGTGGAAAGGACACTTGACTGACAGTCAGCTCTAGACCTATGTTCCAGTGCAGGTTCTGACTCTAAACAGCCACGTGACCGTAGGACCCCCACTGGGCAAGGTTTCCCCTCCATTAAACAAGTAAGAGTGACTGTACATTCTCCAGGTTTCTATTTTCTGGCATCAGTAGATGACAGAAGCCATTCTGGGGAGTAGGAGCCCCCCACCTTTTTCCTCATTATTAAACATTTGAAATGTCTCAAGAAGTGTGGTGTTATCTCACTTAATCTTCACAACTACCCCATAGAGTAGGTCATACTATTGGCCTCATTTTACAGATGAGGAAACTAAGGCTCAGAAAGTATTTTGAGTAACTTCCCCTCTCGTCATTCAGGCATCTATCTAATCACACTCTATCAAGATGAAAAGTCATGGCATCTGCCCTCAAAGAGCTTGCAGTTGAGCAATCACCTTTGCACCACGCTGCAGGGGGAGATTTTTACCTACCCCTTCAGCAGCTGTTTTCAACTCTGGTTGCACAGTAGACTTCCCTAGGAGCTTTTTTTTTTTTTTTTGTGAGACAAGGTCTTGCTCTCTTGCCTAGGCTGGAGTGCAGTGGTCTGATCATGGCTTACTGCAGTCTCAGTCTCAACCTCCTGGACTCAAGTGATTATCCTGCCTCAGCCTCCTGTGTAGCTGGGAGAATAGGCAAGCATCCCCTCGCCTGGTTAATTTTTTTGGTAGAGATGGGGTTTCACAATGTTTCCCAGGCTGGTCTCCAACTCCCGGGTTCAAGTGATCCTCCTGCCTTGGCCTCCCAAAGTGCTGGGATTATAAGCATGAACCATGGCACCTGACCCCAGGAGCTTTAAAAACAAAAACAACAAATAACAAACAATGCTAAAATCCCTTTCTAGACTAATTAGGTTGGAATCCTTGGCCTGAATACGTAGGAACGGGTTTTGTTTTTGTTGTTGAAATGCTTCAGGAGAGTCTCATGCACATGGAGGGTTAACAGCTACTGGTTTATATGGCATATGAAGCAAGACAAATCTGGGTTCAAGGCTGGTCCTTGCAACTTGCTGTGTGACCTTGAGCCAATTGCTTAACACTTGAGTCCCAGTTTCCTTGTCTGTAAATCAACAGCATAATAACTATCTTAAAGGCCTCACCTTTAAAAAATAAGAAAGGGTGTAATAACAGATGCTGAGTTGTCTTCATGAGGAAATAAATGGTGCAGACTTGTCCTTGCATTGTGGAGATACTGACTATGGCCAAGATGACATAGGGACAGCCTGACATGTAGGCTCTACATCTGACCTCCTGAGGTTTTCTGGAGAATCCATAAACAGAAACTGTGTTATTGGACGCACCTAATCGTCCTTCTCAAGGACAGACTGTGCACTCTGATCGCTCTGCTAGCTGCCAGCTAATCAGTTTACCCCCAAAAGTACATAAAGGGCCCCGTGAGGCGGCTCACACCTGTAATCCCAGAACTTCGGGAGGCCGAGGCCGGAGGCTCGCTTAAGCCCAGGACTTTGAGACTAGCCTGGGCAACATAGTAAGAACTCATCTATACAAAAATTAAAAGACATTAGCCGGCGTGGCCGCGCATTCCTGTGGTTCCAGCTACTCAGGAGGCTGAGGTGGGAGAATCACTTGAGCCCGCGAAGTAGAGGTTGCAGGGAGCCATAATTGCGCCACTGTACTCCAGCCTGGGCGACAGAGGGAGACCCTGTCTCAGGAAAAAAAAAAAAAAAGAAAAGAAAAGTGCAAAAGTGCACACAGGATTCATTGTTCCCACATGATCTGCGGTTTCCTCCTCCCTTCTCATAAATCCTGTAGCTGCCTTTGTTCTTTGACTACTCAGCCAATTCAGGTCTCAGCTGTTCTTCGAAGCCGCCCTAGATGCGATAATGAAGGTCAGGTGCCCGCATCCGACCCTCCCTCCCCTCGCGGGGACCCTAGGACCCACCCAGATCCCGCCTCTCTCTCTCTCTCTCTCGGCGGCAGGTTCCGCTGCATCGTGTATCCTTTCCGCGAGAAGCTGACCCTGCGGAAGGCGCTGGTCACCATCGCCGTCATCTGGGCCCTGGCACTGCTCATCATGTGTCCCTCGGCCGTCACGCTGACCGTCACCCGTGAGGAGCACCACTTCATGGTGGACGCCCGCAACCGCTCCTACCCGCTCTACTCGTGCTGGGAGGCCTGGCCCGAGAAGGGCATGCGCAAGGTCTACACCACTGTGCTCTTCTCGCACATCTACCTGGCGCCGCTGGCGCTCATCGTGGTCATGTACGCCCGCATCGCTCGCAAGCTCTGCCAGGCCCCGGGCCCGGCCCGCGGTGGGGAGGAGGCGGCGGACGGGCGGGCTGCGCGGCGCAGGGCGCGCGTGGTGCACATGCTGGTCATGGTGGCGCTCTTCTTCACACTGTCCTGGCTGCCGCTCTGGGCGCTGTTGCTGCTCATCGACTACGGGCAGCTCAGCGCGCCGCAGCTGCACCTGGTCACCGTCTACGCCTTCCCCTTCGCGCACTGGCTGGCCTTCTTCAACAGCAGCGCCAACCCCATTATCTACGGCTACTTCAACGAGAACTTCCGCCGCGGCTTCCAGGCGGCCTTCCGCGCCCGCCTCTGCCAGCGCCCGTTGGGGAGCCACAAGGGGGCCTACTCCGAGCGGCCCGGCGGGCTTCTGCACAGGCGGGTCTTCGTGGCGGTGCGCCCCAGCGACTCCGGGCTGCCCTCTGAGTCGGGCCCTAGCAGTGGGGCCCCCAGGCCCGGCCGCCTCCCGCTGCGGAATGGGCGGGTGGCCCACCACGGCTTGGCCAGGGAAGGGCCTGGCTGCTCCCACCTGCCCCTCACCATTCCAGCCTGGGATATCTGAGGTGGTCCCGGGAGGGCTGGCCCCTGCCTGAGGGCCCCGATTGGACACGAGATACATGCGCGCGACAGCGGCCTGGTGAGGTTAGGAGAGGATGCATGGTGCCTCCCTCTCCAGAGCCAGGCAGTGGTGGGCGGCTGCTGGTGATGTCTTCTCTGCTGCCTTCACCCTCAGTAGAGGCAAATGCGGGGGACAGGAAGGAACCAACTTGCCCTGAAACCCTTCTGTGTGGTGGGCTTGACAAACATCATCTCACTGAATTGTCACAACGCTTTGGAGATAGGTTTTCTTCTCTTTCTTCTACAGATGCAAAAACTGAGGCCTGGAGAGGAGACGTGACTCGCCCAAGGTTCTCAGGTGGAAATGGCATGCGAAGCCATCTGACTCCAATGCCTGTGTGGTTTTTATCATCTCCAGCTGGCTCCAAGAGGGCCCCAGTAAGGAAGGTAGAACACTGTGAACTGAGTAAGTCCTAATTAGGCAGCTAGGAAGAAGCGAAAAGCAAAGCCGCCCTGTCCCTTGATGCTTTGTGTCCACTTGAGGGAGTCCCTCATTTTCCGTTACTGAAGCCACTCCCCTTGATCCTTTTCTAGAAGAACATGGTGTGCCCCCGCTGCTAGCTCTAATGTGTTGGTTTGTCTTGTTTGTTCCAAGAAGTTCCAAGAAGCCATTGTCCTCAGAGCCTGGCAGCTTCAGAACGAGCCTTGGGGAGGCTGCCTCAGTTGCAGGGCACTCTAGGTCTTGCCCTCTGGATCTGAGCTTAGAGAACGGAGGAGGGACTCCCAGACCCAGGCAAGAACTTACAATGCCACAGACATTGTAATGCTGCAGGGCCACAGGAGGTGTCCTTTTAAGTACTCAGACAACGAGGAAGAGGAAGCACGGTATGCATTTTCCACACTGGGAAACATCTGCTCACTGGGGCTGCAGGTACAAAGCCTTGCCCAAGGTCTCTCTCCTCCCTGCTTCCTGGGAGGGAGAAGTTGGTCAACCGAAGCTGCAGCCAGCGTGCCCTTTGGAGACTCCTGAAGGACACACACTAAACTCTTCCCCAGCACAAATGACTTGTGTGCCCTAAAGACGTACCAGGAGAGCCCTGTTTACTCTGGCTTTCCCCCAGCACCCCTGCATCAACTTGAAGAAATGTGGCTTTTTTCCAGGGGACAGGGGCACATGGGATTGCCTTGGGGGGGTCCTTTCACAGGCCCCTTCATCTTGCAGTTAACTGGACATTTCCCCCCACCTCTATAGAAAACACGACGTTGCTAGAAATTTAGTAAACAGAAAAGAAACTTTTCCAGGGGTCAGGGCTCTGAGGCTCTCTTCCCTTAACCGATACACAATGTTTACTGTTTGCTCCACTCTAAGTTCCAGGAACAGGGGCAGAATACAATTCCTAAGCAGTTGTACAATACATTCTCCAAGCATGTCCCCAGACACTGTCTCATTTAATCCATAGTAATGAGGTTGAAGGAGATTGAATGTTATTGTCATTTCACAAAGTGACTGAAGCTCAAAGGGGCCAAATTCCCAGGGCCACAGAGGGGCAGGATTTAGATTAAAATTTGTCTTCTGATTGTTCTTCCCACCCTGCATGCTGCCTTTCAAGGAAGGTGGGCATGATGGGCGAGGTGGTAATTTCCCCAAAGGTTTTTTGCCTAACAGTGAACCAGAATGCCCCTCCTGGTGCCCAAGCTCTTGGTCTGGAAAGAAATCTATTGTGTTTACTCTCGTGATGTCCGGCCTGAGTTGTTCTTACCCTCATGCTGAGCAGGCTGCCAAGAGCCATCATGACTTTGTCCTGGGGGTGATGGATGAGGGTCTCAGAGAGGGTATGCCGTCCTGCCCCTCAGTGGTATTAGCTGGTGCCATGCATTTCTGGTACTGTGTCAGTGTCATGTGTCACATAGGCCAGAGAGTTCTGGGCTATTTATGTGAATAAATAGCTGGTTCTGGGCTATTTATGTGAAGAAGTCTGACTCCAGGCTCTAAAAGTAAGCCAGAGAGAGGGCCATCTCAAACCCCAAATGCCTATCCCTATGGCTGGGTGTGAACTGTCTGAAGACACCATCTGGTGTCTCCTATGGGGTGTGTTTCTCCTTTAGCATAGCCTCCCCAAGTACAAAATCAGTATTTGGGGCTGGGGGCAGGTACGGATACCAAGGTACTCACTCAAGCCAACCTTTCCATCACAGCCCCTTTATCCTCCCCCAAAAGATGTCATGCTTTGACAGGTTATAACTGCCCAAAAAACTCCTTCAACTCTTACTGAAGATCACAATTAACATATTTTGCTGTTGTTTTTGTTTCTTCTAGGCTATACCTGCCCATTCAGATCTGAGTGATAACAGGTGTGACTTAATGCTTTAATGAAGCAGTGAGACGTTGTGGGTATGTAGGGAGTTTGTTTCTTTGTGGATGTGGTAAAATATAAATAATACAAAATTTACCATTTTGGCCATTTTTAAGTGTACAGTCTGGAATTAAATATATTCACATTGTTGTGTAACCATTACCACTATCTATTTTCAGAACTTTTTTATTATCCCAAACTGCAACTCTGTATCCATAAAGAGTATCACCCCATCCCCTCTCCTCCTAGCCCCTGGTAACTACTATTCTACTTTCTGTCTGTGAATTTGGCCACTCTAGGTACTTCTATACAAGAGGAATCGTACAGTATTATCCTTTTTGACTGGCTTCTTTCACTTCGCATAATGTCTTCGAGGTTCATCCATGTTGTGGCATGTGTCAGAATTTCTTTCTTTTAAAAGCTGAATAATATCCCATTGTCTAGATAGTCCTCATTTTATTCATTCATCCATCAGTGGACACTTAGGTTGTTTCTATCTTTTGGCTACTGTGAATAATGTTGGAGTTTTTCGATGCTAGAAGTAGTTCCTGACAATAGTGCCTGTGTGAATCCTGAGGACAAATACCCCAGGTTGGGAACCAGGGTCTCTCCCAACTTACCATTTATGGGTGACAAAACAGAGGCTTCCAGGACAGCTGTGATGTGTCTCACTTACCTGTGCCCACCCCAGCTGCTCTGGGATTCTGCTGGGCTTTACTTCTTGACTAGAGTGGCTAGAAAATTGTATGTTTCCTCTACAAGATATTTTTATGAAGCTACTTTATAATTATAGACTTTTTAACCTCACTGGATTCCTATGTTCTGACACCTGGACCTTAACGGGGCCTTGTGCAGCCAAGGCACCCAAGGGCAGGCGGTGCGGACCGTTCCTGACGCGCCATCCTCCACCTCCAGGTTGGCTGGGTTTCCTAAGGTGACTGCCCTTTCATAAGCGGAAAGTTCGGAGATGAACGGGATGTGTGATGGGGAAAAAGGGCCAGAGGCCTGTTGACACTGAGCATCCCCACCCAGAGGGCCTCCTGGAGGGACTCTGTGTCCTGTCCTGCCATGTGCAGCATGAGTGGTCACCCTCATTGTGGGTCTCCAGTGATGAATGGCCTCTTGACTTTACCAAGACCAGGCAGCACCCAACAGACCAATGTGAGCTGGAGGCGGATGCCGGGCCTGGACCCCACAAACCACAGTCTGCCCGGCCCTGTGCTGAGGAGTCTCTCTTGGGGCCTGGAGGACGCATGAGCTAATTTGCATTGGAATGGAGGGCGAAGTTGGCAAAGGAAGATGAGAGCCCCCCTATCATTAGTCTACTGTGTATTCATCCAAAAAGCAAGGTGAGAGCCAAGCCCAGGGCTGGATGGACAAAGCATTGCTATTAAGCTCTGTACCTTTTTGCACCCGTTTCCTCAGCTCACCCCTCAGAAGTGCCACTGATGAAAGATAGATGAGAAGGAGGCGGTCTAAATGGGCTTCATTACAACAAACAATGTTGAATGAACAATACATTCCTTGTTGAATAACCCAATTATTTATGATCATGGCATTTTATTGTTGTTTTTCTCTGTCTCTACAAAAGCCCTACATAATCATTGTGGAAATTTTACAAGATCTCGATAAGCAAAGACAAGAAAACGAAAAGCACCCAAATCCTACCACAGGAGATAAGCATAGAGTCCTTTTCTGTGCATGTATCTCTCAATATATTTAACATTCTTAGAACAGCTTTATTGAGGCAGAACTTGCATATGAAGAAATTCATCCATCTTAAGTGTACTGCTTGATGAGTTTTAACAATTGTATATAGTTATGTCCCCGTGACACTGAAGATATTTCCATCATCCTAAAATGTTTCCTTGTACTAATTTATAGTCAATCCTTTCCCACGCTCCTGATTCCAGAAAACAATGCTCTGATTTCAGAATGTCATGTAGATGGAATCAGTCTGCAGCCAAGTCTGGTTTCTTTCACTTAAAATGATGTTTGCAAGATTCATTCATGCTGTAGCATGTATCAGTAGTTTTTCCTTTAGATTGCTGAGTACTATTCTACTGTATGAATAGATCACATTTTGTTTATCCATTCATCAGTTGATAGACATTTGGTTATCACCAGTTTTTGGCTATTATGAATAATGCTGCTATAAACATTCATGTACAAGTCCTTATATGTATGTGTATGTATGTTTTCCATTTTTCTTGGGTAGATACCTAGGATCAAGATTGGTAGGTTGCATGGTCTGTGTATAATTTAACTGCGTAAGAAACTGCCAAAGTGCTTTCCAAAGTCGCTGTACCATTATGCACTCCCATCAGCAGTGTATTCCAGTGTTCTGCATCCTGGCCAACACTTAGCAGTATTAGCCTTTTGAAAATTTCTGGGCCAGGTGTGGTGGCTTACGCCTGTAATCCCAGCACTTTGAGAGGCTGGGGTGGGTAGATCACCTGAGGTCAGGAGCTTGAGACCAGCCTGGCCAACATGGCAAAACCCCATCTCTACTAAAAATATAAAAACTAGACAGGCATGGTGGTGCACACCTGTAGTCCCAGCTACTTGGGAGGCTGAGACATGAGAATCACTTCAACCTAGGAGGCAGAGGATGCAGTGAGCCAAAATTGTACCACTGCACTTCAGCCTGGGTGACAGAGCAAGACTCTGCCTCAAAAAAAAAAAAAAAAAAGGAAAGAAAAGAAAAGAAAATTTCCCTGATGACTAGTGATGCAATAAACACATATTTGTGTGTTTATTGGCTATTCTTATATCTTTTATTGTAAAGTATCTTCAAATCTATCTTTTAAAAACATGATTTTGGCTGGGTGTGGTGGCTCATGCCTGTAATCCCAACACTTTGGGAGGCCAAGGTGGGCAGATCACTTGAGGTCAGGAGTTCAAGACCAGCCTGGTCAACATGGAGAAACCCTGTCTCTACCAAAAACACAAAAATTGCCAGGTGTGGTGGTGTGCGCCTGTAATCCCAGTTACTTGGGAGGCTGAGACAGGAGAATCACTTGAACCTGGGAGGCAGAAGTTGCAGTAAGCCAAGATGGCGCCACTGCACTCCAGCCTAGGTGACAGAGTGAGGCTCCATCTCAAATAATAATAATAATAATGATAATAATATTTTATTGTAGAGACTTTAGCACAAAAATTTGCCCTAAATCTAAGGGGTATTTTTTTTTTTTTTTTTTTTTGAGACGGAGTCTCGCTCTGTCACCCAGGCTGGAGTGCAGTGGCCGGATCTCAGCTCACTGCAAGCTCCGCCTCCCGGGTTCACGCCATTCTCCGGCCTCAGCCTCCCGAGTAGCTGGGACTACAGGCGCCTGCCACCTCGCCTGGCTAGTTTTTTGTATTTCTTAATAGAGACGGGGTTTCATAGCCAGGATGGTCTCGATCTCCTGACCTCGTGATCTGCCCGTCTCGGCCTCCCAAAGTGCTGGGATTACAGGCTTGAGCCACCGCTCCCGGCCAACTAAGGGGTATTTTTTTGTGAATATAATTTTTTTTTTTTTTTTTTAGACAGTCTCACTTTTGTCACCCAGGCTGGAGTGCAATGGCGTGATTTCGGCTCACTGCAACCTCCGCCTCCCGGGTTCAAGCAATTCTCCTGCCTTAGCCTCCCGAGTAGCTGGGATTACAGGTGCCTGCCAACACACCCAGCTAATTTTTGTATTTTTAGTAGAGATGGCATTTTATCTGTTGGCCAGGCTGGTCTTGAACTCCTGACTTCAGGTGATCTGCCCGCCTCGGCTTCCCAAAGTGCTAGAATTACAGATGTGAGCCACCATGCTCAGCCAATGATTTTTAAATCCATTAAGAATGGGTCTAAAGCAAGGTAAAAGGATATAGTGTGATAGAAGTAGGAGGGCTATTTGAACAGATGGTTAGGAATGGCCTCTGCGAGGAAGTGACGTTTGAGTATAGATATGAAGTGAGAGAGGGAGCCATGTGACTAGCTGGGGAAAAAACAAAC